ACTGATATCCTAAGATAATGATATCCTAAGATACTGATATCCTAAGATACTGTATGATATCCTAAGATATTGTATGATATCCTAAGATATTGTATGATACCCTAAGATAATGATATCCTAAGATACTGATATCCTAAGATACTGATATCCTAAAAAAAAGATATCCTAAGATATTGATATCCTAAGATATTGATATCCTAAGATATTGATATCCTAAGATACTGATATCCTAAGATACTGATATCCTAAGAAAATGATATCCTAAGATACTGATATCTTAAGATACTGATATCCTAAGATACTGATATCCTAAGATTTTTGATATCCTAAGAAAATGATATCTTAAGATACTGATATCCTAAGATACTGATATCCTAAGATACTAATATCCTAAGATAATGATATCCTAAGAAAATGATATCCTAAGATACTGATATCCTAAGATATTGATATCCTATGATATTGACATCCTAAGATATTGATATCCTAAAATATTGATATCCTAAGATAATGATATCCTAACATATTGATAACTAAATTTATCACATACTTGTACCTTTATCAGGTAGGAAGCAGCGGGACATAAAAACGATATCGTCCCGGATATCGTTTTTTGTCCCGGATATCGTGTTTTGTCCCGCTAAATTTCGCGACTTGTCAAAACAAAGATGGCCGATTCGAGGTTCGTGTTGGTTGATGTCGAGACTTTATCGAAGAAAACAAGAACGATAATACAAAATGAAAGACTTAAATTGTATATTATTTATATGAATGGTCTATTTATTTTCTAAAATCATATTTGTTCAGTAAATGATGAATTGTTTTGAATTCTAAAATGATCCTATTTTTTCAAAAATCAAAACTGTTTACTTTGGGTGTCAAACCCTGATAAAGGTACAAGTATATAATAAATAGGTTATCGTACTCGGGATTCGGTGATATCAGTTTTATCGCTCTCGGGACGATATCACAATTGTCCCTCGCTCGCTCGTGACAATTGTGATATCATCCCTCGAGCGATAAAACTGATATCACCTCATCCCTTATATGATAACCTATATGTATCCCAATGGATAGATAGGGACTATATCCTAAGATATTGACATCCTAAGATATTGATATCCTAAGAAAATGATATCCTAAGGTACTGTATGATATCCTAAGATACTGATATCCTAAGATAATGATATCCGAAGATACGGCTGATATCCTAAGATACTGTATGATATCCTAAGATATTGTATGATATCCTAAGATATTGTATGATATCCTAAGATACTGATATCCTAAAATATTGATATCCTAAGATATTGATATCCTAAGATATTGATATCCTAAGATAATGATATCCTAAGAAAATGATATCCTAAGATACTGATATCCTAAGATACTGATATCCTAAGATACTGATATCCTAAGAAAATGATATCCTAAGATACAGATATCCTAAGATACTGATATACTAAGATACTGATATCCTAAGATTTTTGATATACTAAGAAAATGATATCCTAAGATAATGATATTTTAAGATACTGATATCCTAAGATACTGATATCCTAAGATACTGATCCTAAGATACTGATATCTTAAGAAAATTATATCCTAAGATACTGATATCCTAAGATACTGATATCCTAAGATACTGATATTCTAAGATTTTTGATATCCTAAGAAAATGATATCCTAAGATAATGATATCTTAAGATACTGATATCCTAAGATACTGATATCCTAAGATACTGATATCCTAAGATACTGATATCCTAAGAAAAAGACATCCTAAAATATTGATATCCTAAGATATTGATATCCTAAGATAATGATATCCTAAGATACTGATATCCTAAGAAAAAGATATCCTAAGATATTGATATCCTAAGATATTGATATCCTAAGATATTGATATCCTAAGATAATGATATCCTAAGATACCGATATCCGAAGATACTGATATCCTAAAAAAATGATATCCTAAGATACTGATATCTTAAGATACTGATATCCTAAGATACTGATATCCTAAGATAAAGATATCCTAAGAAAATGATATCCTAAGATACTGATATCCTAAGATATTGATATCCTATGATATTGATATCCTAAGATATTGATATCCTAAAATATTGATATCCTAAGGTAATGATATCCTAAGATATTGATAACTAAATGTATCCCAATGGATAGATAGGGACTATATCCTAAGATATTGACATCCTAAGATATTGATATCCTAAGAAAATGATATCCTAAGGTACTGTATGATATCCTAAGATACTGATATCCTAAGATAATGATATCCGAAGATACTGATATCCTAAGATACTGTATGATATCCTAAGATATTGTATGATATCCTAAGATATTGTATGATATCCTAAGATATTGTATGATATCCTAAGATACTGATATCCTAAGATATTGTATGACATCCTAAGATACTGATATCCTAAGATACTGATCCTAAGATACTAATATCCTAAGAAAATGATATCCTAAGATACTGATATCCTAAGATACTGATATCCTAAGATACTGATATTCTAAGATTTTTGATATCCTAAGAAAATGATATCCTAAGATAATGATATCTTAAGATACTGATATCCTAAGATACTGATATCCTAAGATACTGATATCCTAAGAAAATGATATCCTAAGATACTGATATCCTAAGATATTGATATCCTAAGATATTGATATCCTAAGATATTGATATCCTAAGATATTGATATCCTAAGATAATGATATGCTAAGATATTGATATCCTAAGATAATGATATCCTAAGATACTGATATCCTAACGGATACTGATATCCTAAGAAAATGATATCCTAAGATACTGATATCCTAAGATACTGATATCCTAAGATACTGATATCCTAAGATACTGATATCCTAAGAAAATGATATCCTAAGATACAGATATCCTAAGATACTGATATACTAAGATATTGATATCCTAATATTTTTGATATACTAAGAAAATGATATCCTAAGATAATGATATCTTAAGATACTGATATCCTAAGATACTGATATCCTAAGATACTGATCCTAAGATACTGATATCCTAAGAGAATGATATCCTAAGATACTGATATCCTAAGATACTGATATCCTAAGATAGTGATATTCTACGATTTTTGATATCCTAAGAAAATGATATCCTAAGATATTGGTATCCTAAGATATTGATATCCTAAGATATTGATATCCTAAGATATTGATATCCTAAGATAATGATATCCTAAGATACTGATATCCTAAGATATTGATATCCTAAGATAGTGATATCCTAAGATACTGATATCCTAAGATATTGATATCCTAAGATACTGATATCCTGAGATATTGGCATCCTAAGATATTGATATTCTAAGATACTGATATCCTAAGATACTGATATCCTAAGATACTGATATCCCTTAAAAATAACAAAAAACACCTAGACGTGACGCTCTTAGAAGTAGACCTTACTAAATTTTGTAAAACATTTTGAAGAAATAAATGTATTCTAAAACTGAAGTATCGTGCAAACATTTACCTGCAAAGCCCGCTCTTTCCGCCCGCGCGATTTGTCTAACCCGCCCGCCTGATCCGTGTACAAATATGTTGTTCTTTAATATATGTATGTACCCACAAAGCCATGCGCCTGATTTTAAGGTATACACCGGCGTTAAAAATAATCCCTATCTATCCATCGGGATACACTTAGTTATGGAAATTCGTTTTACCTTAATCCCCTTAATTACCTACACGCCTCCTAATGACTTAGCAACGCATAACAACGCAAATTTGCAAAGTTTAAAACATGTTTATTGATACAAATAACAGACGATAGTCTCAAAAAAATATTACAAGTGTTCTAATTCTAACTTCTACTCTTGATAAGCTTTCTTATGATCATTTTAACAGTATATATGTATGTAGGAGGATTGCTAAATAATGTTGTACAACATACAAATATTGACCATATCAGCTACCCAAAAGACCTCCAGTAAGAGTGTTGTGAAATGCAGAACTATGCTTATTACAAGACGCTTGTCGATTTTATACAGACACTCGTATAAAAGTTCATAGTAGGCCAAGATTAATCCCTCTATTGTATCACACACGTGGGGGGTCGCTAAAAAATGCGTAGTCAGCAAGTTTCGCCCGCTCTTGTTTAAACTCGCCTGCGTGACGTCATTGCATATAATTATGACGTATGTTAATGAGTGACGTCATTACTCCTCCTCACTCCTCCTCCTCACTCCACCACCTCCACCACACTCCACCACCTCCACCACGCTCCACCACCTCCACCGCACTCCACCACCTCCACCGCCGCAAAAATGGGGGTCGAACGGCCTCTATATTACTACTACCAACCGTTAGGTTGGTTTTAAAAAGTCTTTCTATAATTACCGCTTAAATAATGTTTTAATACATGATTTTGCTGTTTTTTCTTCATTTATTTACCGCAGAACGCATTGTTTTTGCACCATATTTAATGACGTGTTTACAAAAGAGAAACATAAAACTGTGCAAATGTTTGTTTTTTTCATTCCACGTTCTGTTCATGGTTCATTCCACGTTCTGTTCATGGTTTCGCCATGCAATTGAGCTGGCGAGCTCGCTTCCTCATGAACGCGACGTAATTATATATTACAACAACAACTGAGATCAAAAGTAGCAGGGGGCTCATATAAGAACAAGTCATTATTAAATAGTGTGACATTGCAGGTGCAAATAAGCTACACTCTTAACTACAGTTGATATTTTTTTAATATTAACTACTCGACCTGCATTAGACGTCATTTATAACCATATGCAATATTTAGCTCGTATTGGCTAACGGCATATTAATGCGTTCAATGTTTACCTAAGTTATAATGACATGTTGAAAAATTTAACTGTAATAAACGTTTTTAATTCTCGCCTATTTGTTGTACATGACGTTTGGATAACGTCGATGATGTGTTAAATTTGAAACATTAAAAAACAATAAACGCACGATGTCGATCCGGCAAAGTTGTCTACATCGTCTCGTCAATTTAATGTTTGTTCTTTTGACGGTAAGTGTTCAGTATTTATTTTTTCTCAAAATGTTATCTCAAATTAAATGCCAAAAATGTTTTGTATTTTGTAAAATATTTCCATATTGTGTAGAATTGGTGTGTATAATAATACGATAATAATTTTCAAAATAATGTTAAATTTTTGAACGAGTAAATTTATATTAATATAGCCATAAAAAACTTTATCATTGCCATACTAGAAAAGTTAAACATCGATCTAATTTATACAGCTAAGAATTTTTTATTTAGTTTCGAAATAAAAGGTCGAAATGATATTTTAACAAGACGCCCTATTGAGCGTTTAGTTGCTGGGTTTTTTAAAATACAGTGCGATTCCACGATATGCGCAGATTTGACGATAGGTGCTTGTAAGTCTAAAATGTAAAGTGCGCCTAAATTGATAGGCAAATAATAACTTTATAACTTCTCAAATGGCCGTTTTTATACTAGAGACGCATTATGCGTCTGGACGCATAATCCGTCTTCTACATTATTCGTCTAGTATAAAGACGGGACGAATAATACTAGACGAATAATGTAGAAGACGGATTATGCGTCCAGACGCATAATGCGTCTCTAGTATAAAAACGGCCAATGCGACGAACCATCAACATTTATTGTTCGTCTGGTTATGCGCCCTCAGTATAAAGACGGGCACAAGACGCATTATGCGTCTAGACGAACTATCATCGGTTGTGCGTCTCTTAAGACGAAGAATCGAACAAAGTTTGTCTAGACGCATAATGCGTCTTGTGCCCGTCTTTATACTAAGAACGTATAACTAAATGCTTGCCCAAGTTCGTGGGCAAAATTTAATGAATGGCTTTTTAACTATCCGTGGTATAACATAAAATTGTGAGCCACTCATGTTGTTTCACACACTCCTAGGTCTTTGCCGACCAGGGGAAAGTGAAAGTTGTTCTGCGTGCCTCAAAGGAAAAGTGCACGCACAAGGGCAAACGTTCTCATACAACATTTAAAGCCCCATTTACACTATGCCGGATTACTTTTCATACCGGATTCATTTTTATTCCGAAGTAAAAAAAACAAGGGTGTTTACACTATGCCGCTTCGCTCTGTTGCCAGCTCATGTATTTCACTGTCGCCATGGAAACAAGTAACCAATATACCAAAATTTATTAAAAACATGAAGTAACACCCGTTTTCTTTGTAAAATATAACTTTGTTTAAAAAGCTTGACCACCAGACGTTGCTTCGTTTCGCTCTAATCCAAAATTGACGAGTATTTCTTTAAATTTTGCTCTTTCGAAAGCGAAAAGTCAATGTTGTTATCGTTTTCTTTATTTGTCTTCGGCAGAAATAGTGAATGGTTGTAAGGCGAAATAAACAACAGCTATAAAGTGTTGTAAAAGCGAGCAAATAAAGGCAACAATGTTAAAACATACACGCCAAAACCGATTTTGTACCGAAGTACGCCGGATTAGACTGCAGTTTACACTGCTCCGGCACATACCGGATTACTTTTCATATCATGCACCTCCAAAGCGGAGTGACTTTTGCTCCGCGTCGCGTACCGGATCACTGTGGCATAGTGTAAACAGCTTTTAGACATAATATGTACATGTAATTTGCATTTTCTCTTCACTTATATATAGGTAAAACATCTAATCGATATGGAAGTTGTTGGTTCTATTATCCGAGGTATATTCTGATTCTATATAGTTTCTTTTTATTTTTAATTTTACCGCTGCATGCGTCAGATGCATGTAGCTGTTCAGGATGATTTCGCCTACTCGGTGAAATTTATTTTCTAAAATTAATTTTCTGAAATAGAAATAACTATAAATTATTTATGTAAGTATAGCCACATCTTGGTTTTATTATTAATGTAAAAGTGTTATTCTGCCCAGTTGCACTACATGTTTTCGCTGAATTTTTTGCATAAATGGCGTTTCAGGATTTGTATACGCTGTTTAAAAAGAGAAAGTTGCAGATTTTCCAATGGTTCACAATGTAAACGCAAAATGTGTCCAGTTTGAGATTATCAATACAAAATTTAGTTTCAAAGCCGTACAATGAAATTAAAGAAAAAAGCCGTCACATCAAGCAAACTATAGTAAGTTTGGTAACTAACAACGGCGACGGCAGAACACGAAATCACTTTTGTATTCGATCTAAAACGTACATTACTAAACAATCCTGAACTTCCCTGTGAATTCACCTAAAACATGCACCCCAAACGTTTTACTCTGTTGGCGTGGTCGTGAGCCGTGAAAATGATGTAAATAACGTGGCAATGTGAACAACTACGGCCAAACCAATACAACCCACAAGCCTTCGATAAGACTTTTGGGTATCTGTATGGGAGGCTGCATGACGTGCAGAGGTGGGTTAAAAAAGGTCGTCAGAATTAGACTAAGGTTATGAGGATAGATTAGGGTTTGGAACCGGCTTAGAGTTAGAGGTCGGGGTTATATTAGGGTTAGGGTTCAATTTAAGGCACTGTTGCATGGCACAGATGATCATCCTGGTTGGATATCGCCCGTATTTCTCATTTTACAAATCCTGATTGTTACCCATCGAGATCATGTGACCGGGTGCACCGAAGCAAATTTAATGGATTCTGTTGTATCGCGATTCGTGAATGCAATGTGTTTGTTCACTAGTGTATTCCATCAGTGTAATTATGCCTCAATCGTTCTTCAGGGAATTGGATAAAGAGACAAACTACGAGTTATTTTGTCAGTAGTTCCAAAAGTACCTGGAAAGATGCAAAGGAATCTTGTTCCAGTCTTAATGCTCATTTACTAGACATAAGCAACGATGCTGATGTACATTTTCTGAAGGACAACGTGACATTTAATGGCCAGAAATTCTGGATTGGACTTCGAAAGAATGATTCGACATTAAATACACAGGTTTATCAAAACGAGGACGATGTTTTGATAACTGACGGCGGATGTTTAACGGCTAGGCTGAATAAAAGCTCATTATGGGAATTTAAAACAACTCCATGCAATTGGCTGCGGAAATCTTTTTGCTTGAAGCTCACAGGTAAAGTTTGTAATTACAATAGAACCCCGTTAACTCGAACTCCCAAGGACCACTACTTAATATTTTTCCTTAATACGTAGACATGTCAGGGAATTGTGACGAAGGATGGACCAGGTATGAAGACTCGCACTGCATACTTCCTGTATACCACCAAATAAGTTGGTTTGCTGCGTATGTCCATTGCAAGAGATTAAATGGCCACCTTCTGAAAAAAGAAGACCTTCAAAAACTGTTGAACGCCTATTTTAAGATAAATATATACTTTTGGATTGGTAGAAGAAATCGTTTCAAAGTTGAACCGAAAGCCAATTGGACTTGGTATAAAAGTAATGTGGTATTTAGTGACTGGTTGAAATGGGAAATACGCGTACAAACAATTGGATGTGGTGGTTGCGGTTATTGGAGTAGAAAGAGGATCTTCCTGAATGCAGATTGTACCAAGTATCGCTCAGCTATCTGCGTATTTGAATTGTTAGACCGTAAGTCACATTGCAATAAATTGCATTTTGCAATATTGTACATTAAAGGGAGTTTAGTTAAGTACAGCACAACACAGCACAGCATATCGCAGAACAGCACAACGCAACACAACACAACACAACACACCACATAACAAAACAACACAACACAACACAACACAACACAGTTAGTGCAGTGCAGTTACTGATCTCAAAGCTGGGTAGAGAAACCTTTCGGAATTCAGGGAATTAATTTTGAAGCCAGAATATTTATAATATGGAGAGATTTTTAAATCTATCACATTCCTTACGAATCAAATTGTTACGTGTTTCAATTGGTTATACTATCAAATAATATCTTCTTCTGCGCATGAAAGATATCGCTTCCCACACTTCTTCTAATGAGTTTTAGAATGTTTTAAACCCGTCGAGACTTGTGGCGACCATATTGGTAATTTGGTATGATCTCATTAAGTATTCACTGGCAAATTTCAGAGGGACGAGAGGCCACTAAAAACTAATTTCTCTCTAGGTAATACTTTTTATTCCTATCAATCGCCAGAAACTCTAATAACCTCTTCCAACGTGTTAGCAAGACCATATGGGTAATGGGTCACACCAATAAGGCCCGATTGACTTCATTTATGTATAGCAGATGTTTTATCAGTGAGTCCTCGTTTTGACATCAAGGCAGTAGCACAGCAGAACACTGTAGAGTACACCACAGCACAAAAGTATAGTACGGTACTGTACTGATTAAACATTACAGTACAGATTAATTAAACATTACAGTACAGCAAAGTACACTTCAGTATAATTCAGCGGGGTTCTTTACATAACGTTATAACATACTCCCACCATCACAAAAATGTTTTCCTCCATAACGAAATCATCTGCCTTTTGTGTTCTAGTACAATTAAGTTACCATGAGGGTGATAAAACCAATTTTCAATTGTGCTTATTCTCATATCCCTACTTTTCTTCTTTGTTCAGATAAATACTTCTCTAATGCTACGGAACGGCGCTCTTCGTGGATCTCTGCCAAAAACACTTGTGACACGCAAAGTAGCTTACCTCAATTCACAGATAGAGACGTTGAACAAGTCTTTAGAAATTTCTCAAAGGACTTCCACAATTTCTCCATTTGGTTGGGTCTGCGAAAGAATATTTTGAGCAAAAACGATTGCATATCAATAGAAGTTGAAAACGATACCAAACTCACCGATTTTACATTGGAGAGATGTTATTCAGTGAATTGTTTAAATATAACAAAAAGAAAAATGCAAACGCCTTGTGATGAACTGCATCACCCATTATGCGTTCAAAGAAAATCCCAGCTCAAAGGTATAGTTCCCAGAAGATTTATTTAAAGTTCTGTTAATTCCAAATATAAATTTTGCTTGTGTAATTAATGGGTCGTTCTAGGAGGAAATGGAAAAGGATGCCTCTCTCTTTAGGTATCAACATATGGCTTATAGAACAAAACATGTTGAACCACAATGAAAACTATGGGGCACACTCGGAGACCACATATCCCCGCCAGAAAATTACGTTATGTATCAAAGCAAGACCAACTTATGCAAATTTCTCATCAAATCTTTATCCAAATTTTAACAAAAATGAATCACTTTGTTCTTCGGCAATAGTCCCACAACTTTTCGTATTAATTTGATATTTTTTAATTTATCGTGCTGAAGACAGAGAAACGCACACAAACGCACGCACACATCACAACACAACACGGATGAAAACATACCTATGGCCCAAAGGGTAATGATCCATCATTTTTTATGAGAGAACAAAAACGGAGTACACTGAAGTCAAAGTACAGGAGAGAATCACTTATCATTTTACTTACACGAGTTTTTAAGGCGATGTTACGCCAACCTCGTTCCAGGACTCTGCCTCCACGGCTGAAGGTCGGTGGAAATTGGCCCCAGGATCGGCTGATCATTTCTACAATCCCATTGATCTGTCCAAAACTCATTTTAACTTGCAGTATAATTCATTCAAACAACTGCAGTGCTTTAAGATTGTTTTGTCTTCAAATTATACGGTTAACTTAAGAAAATACCGAGACTATAGTCAAGATTTACTTACGTCATATACTTGCCGTGCTATGTGCCTGTCGGACTCATGGTTATAAGAATTATGCAAGCATACTGCTCTTAAAATAACATCTTTAGATGAATAAGTTGGCAAATAATTCATTACTTCACATTTATTATTCATAAACAAACAACAAATATTTAATTTCACATAAATTATTGTATCAAAACACCCAGAAATTCTGGGTGTCATGCAGTGAACTCAATCTAGTTACCATAAAAGACATGGAGTTCACTGGTATCATGCGACCAGCCGATCCCAGGGCCATTTTCGCCGCGACTTTCAGCTGTGGAGGCAAAATGCCCTGGGGACGAGGTTGATGTTACGCGATACGATATTGAACGACGATTCGGAACGCAACGGGTTCCCGAACCAATGAATTCGTGCAATTTCATTTGCATTATGAATCGTCTTTGAAAATTGTCCCGTGAAACATCGCCTTCAAGTATATTGACACATGTCCGGTTCAGTCAATTAATGGAATTGTATCTATTTATTTATTATTACCTTAAGTAATATTTATACTTAATATAATGACTGTAATCGTATTTTTTCTTGTTATTGTAATCTTAGGCCTTTCATACCATACCATACCATACTATACCAGGCCATGCCATATACCATACCATATATCATACCATATACCATATACCATATACCATACCGTTACTCCATACCATATATCGTACCATATACCATACCATATACCATACCATATACCATACCATATACCATACCATATACCATACCATATACCATACCATATACCATACCATATACCATACCATATACCATACCATATACCATGCCATATACCATACCATATACCATACCATATACCATACCATATACCATACCATATACCATACCATATACCATACCATATACCATACCATATACCATACCATATACCATACCATATACCATACCATATACCATACCATATACCATACCATATACCATACCATATACCATGCCATATACCATACCATATACCATACCATATACCATACCATATACCATACCATATACCATACCATATACCATACCATATACCATACCATATACCATGCCATATACCATACCATATACCATACCATATACCATACCATATACCATACCATATACCATACCATATACCATACCATATACCATACCATATACCATACCATATACCATACCATATACCATACCATATACCATACCATATACCATACCATATACCATACCATACCATATACCATACCATATACCATACCATATACCATACCATATACCATACCATATACCATACCATATACCATACCATATACCATACCATATACCATACCATATACCATACCATACCATATATACTATACCATGCAGTACAATACAGTAGTTTGGGTTAAGAAGAACACAACTTGCGATTGCGGCTCAGTTATTAGGGCAGCGAGCCAACCCAATCTACCACTCTAATGGCGCCATATATATTTTTGTTCTTGTAGACATATGTACAGAACCCTGGCAAGACTGTAAGAACGTTTGTTGCCTGGTACTCAATAATGTGCAAGCCAGTTGGATTGCTGCACACACATTTTGCTTACAACAAGGTGGTCAATTAGCCGATGCGTATGAGTTAAGAACCGATGGAATTAATTTTACGATGAAACCTTCTCCAAAACGTTGTTGGTTACCCAAAAGACACGTCTTCACCCCGCGGGATCCACTGGAAGGTTGGCATTGGATCAATGGTTCTCCACTCATGGTCACCAGTAGCTGGGGGGTTGGTGAACTACGGTATAATGGAAAACTTGGCCGTTGTGCTGTGATCGTCGACGATCGTAAATGGGAAGACGAACCTTGTTCTCACACACGTACATACATTTGTAAATCAAAGAAAGCGGACCTAGACGATAAGGTAACCGAATAATAAACTAGACGGCTGAAAAAATCCCCCCCGGAAAATATTATCGCTAATGTCTCCGACGGTGATTAAGTGCGACAATTAGCATAAATTATGGCCGGTTCCATCGCTGTGTTGCTTTTTACTAGTAGTAGCTGTTATTTTTGTCGATGGGCGGGTTTAATTGGTTTCATGAGAGGACAATTCACCGATCCCAAACTCATAACGCGCGCTAGCACGCGTGAAGGTGTATAAACTTGTATGTATAAACTTGTGGTGTGTGGACGAAGTTAGTGATGGTGCAAGGTGCTATCAATATACGCATGCTAGCGAACGTTATGAGTTTGAGCTCGGCGCATTTTTCTCCCATGCAGCCAGTCAAAGCCGTCCATCGACAACCATGGAGTCCCTGTCATTTGGGACGGTAGCATAATAACCACGATAAATGTTGGATGAGTGTCTATTTATAGGCGGCTATTCACATGCGTTTCGTGCCACATCTAGCCGGACAGTGAGAGAAATTAGTCATTTGTCTTATTTATACACAGGACGAGATATACAAAGAGATAGAAAAATTTGACACCTACATCAAAAATTATCTTAGAAATGACAACGTCTCTCAGGTAAGCGAAGCGAAAACATTCGTGTATTTACGTGTAGTCATAAATGCGGGCATTCTACGTTTGCAAAGAGATAAATCGCAGAGATGATGAATAGTAGTGTTACAAACTTGTTGATTTTCTATATTTAACACGAATGAAACTAATGGTAGGTAGGCGCTAGCAACTGATAAGTTTCCAGTACGTTTGCGTCCATAATAAATAATATATAAGGGTCACGAATTTATCAGTATCGACAGATTCCTGAAGGGAAGCGAATTTATCATTAACTTGCATATATTATCATGTTTATCATTAACTTGCCTCCATGTCGCCACCAGTCAATCATTTTGACCCACCTATTTATCAGTATCGATTCGTCAATATTGACGGATTCCTGAAGGGAAGCGAATTTATCAATCATTTCGACCCACCCCGAAGTCAAGGTCCCTTTTCTTTAATTTAAATATAAGCAAAACATCGCACAATATTTAAGATGTTGGAAGCCTAGGCTAAACAAGTTAGTAACCGAGTTGTGGTATTTACAGACCCCCCTATACTATCACATACGACACCACACCAAACGTTTTGTCACTAATAACAATTTGTCATCTCTCCACACTCAGTATTGTATAGACCATAGTCTTTTTCTGTGGACGCCCCGCACCCTCTCTCCCACTGACGAAATCTTAAAGGGCATATGACTTGAAAATTGACGGGGTTAATCTTTAGTCTAATTTGAAAATCATTGAAAACTCTGGGGTAACTTCTTTTACAGATTTTTGTTTTTTTGCTTCGTTTCGGAAATATTTCATTTTGTATGATATGCAAAGGACCAACTTTCGACCTCATACAGTACATGCACAATGATTTACTTTATTAAAATGACATATAATTTCGTCACTATTGAAATAAATTCGCTCAAAAAGAATGCTGAGCACGAGACTTGTCCGCAACAACACCCATTGTAGATTTTCTACTGATTGTGTTTAGTCGTATTAAAGATATAACTACAGCTTTTAGGGCTTCAATCTTTAATAAATTATTTAAACACGGTAGCCTGTTCAGCAGATAATATTTACAGCGCTGGTTTTCAAAGGGCCGTGTATTTACAACAATAATATAAAAAGGACAAAAAGAATATAACCATTTACAATGAATTGATACGGATGAATTAAGTAATTGCCGTTTAAACGACAAAATTGAAAGATTGTTATAATTTTCAATAGTTTCACTTGGAAGTTCGTTCCAGGACTTAGCAGCTCTATACGAGAAACTTCGTTTGAGAAAATTTGTCTTAGGTTTGGGTAAGTTCAATTTAATTTGATTGCTTCTTAGATTGTAATTGTCATTTTGACTTACTGAAAACAATTTTTCAAGGTATCGAGGTAATCGACCAGTTAGTACTTTAAATGTCATTATTAACTGTCGTTGTTTTAGAAGTTCTTCCATTGGAAGCCAATTAAGACTATCTAGCGTTTGCATGGAACGAACCTCGTATGTGCCCCTGTTATCACACGCGCTGCTCTCTTCTGCAGTATAAACAATTTATCAATTATCGAACAACATCCATCATTCCAGATTGTTGAACAATAATTGAAATGAGGCCACACTAAGGCATTGTAGATTTTTATCAGACTATCTCTATTGACAAACAATTTTGCTCTTTTCAGCAGGGCGATATTATTTGAAATTGTTTTACATTGCATTTCATTATGTTTATTCCATTTTAGCTGGTCGTCAAGGATCATGCCTAGTGACTTTTTTTGATAAACTCGCTTAATGTTGTTTCCCCCTAATGTTAGTACTGGGCTATTTTCAATTGAAACTAAGCGACGTCTTGATCCTATTATCATAAATTCACTCTTTTTCATATTTAATGAGAGCTTGTTAGCTGTCAACCACCTATGAACATTTTCAATGTCTTTATTAAGTTTGATCTCAATTTCATATGGACTAAACCCTTCACAAGAAAGGCTTGTGTCATCAGCAAAAAGATTTACTTTAGTTGTCTCTAAACAGTTAGGAAGATCATTTATGTACAATAGGAATAAAATAGGCCCAAGGTTAGAGCCCTGAGGTATCCCGCATTTTATTTGTCTAACAGCTGACATCTTGCTATTCACAGAGCATATTTGGCTTCGACCAGAAACGTATGATTCGAACCATTTCAGGCTAGTTCCTTTAATACCATATAATTCAAGCTTTGATAAAAGAATATGATGGTCGACAGTATCAAAAGCTTTTTTAAGGTCTAGAAATAAAACTCCGCTAAGTAAACCTCTGTCCATATTGAACAACCATTCATTTGTAGAACTAAGCAGTGCAGTTTCAGTAGAATGCTGATGACGGAAGCCAGACTGCTGTTCCACAAGAACGCCATTCAACCTCAAGAATGAACTTAGCTGCAGGTATACCAGTTTTTCGAAAAGTTTAGCTACAGCTGAAATAACAGATATTGGCCTATAATTTTCACAGTCTGCCTTATTTCCTTCTTTAAATATGGGGGTCACCTTTGCTAATTTCCAATTATTAGGGAAAATTGCTCTTTGAAGGGATACATTGAATATGTTCACTAGTGGTCCTGCCACAATGTTAGATGCATCTTTTAGTAACCTTATACTAATACCATCAAGCCCTGGAGATTTCTTAGTTTTAATTTCATTGAGTGCATCTATTGTTTCTTGGACTGTAATGCTTGTAAAGTTGAATATACTACCATCAAGAGGAGTCACAAAGTTCATTGGATCAGTGCAGTTACCTGTGATCTTGTCAGACAACGTACTGCCAATTGTGGAAAAATATTGATTGAAGGCATCTGCAATTTTATCATCGTCAGTAATAAGTTGGCCATTTATATCTAGTTCTTTAACCTCTGAAGTTTTAGGCTTTTTGTTTAATAATTCGTTAATAGTTCGCCAACTTTCTTTGCTATTTTTAGCATTGCTTAGTTTATCTCTTAAGGTCTGATGCATATGTAACGTATATAGAAGTTGGTTCTTTGCATATCATACAAAATGAAATATCTCAAAAACGAAGCAGGAAAACAAAAATCTGTCAAAGAAGTTATACTCTACAGTTTTCAATGATCTTTCAAATTAGACTAAAAAATAACACCGTCAATTTTCGAGTCATGTCTCCTGAAAAAAGGCCGTGCATGTACTTACTGACAGCTGTTACCCTCATTGAATATGTATAATTTCTTAATTTTAAGAAACAAGAAGGAGATAAAAATACAGAAGAAATTTTACCTCTCTTTACAAATTTAGTCGTGGGACTGGTTAACAAAAGCAGCTTTAACGCGTCGTTCAGTATCAAAACAGACGGATTTGGTATATTAATTGTTGATTTTCCGTGAATTTTACATGCAATTTGAATTGTACATAAATTCTTATGATGATGATGTCATTTGCTTTCAGAACTTGATGTTTTCACGACCAGCGTGAAGGATTTGGTGGATGGTAAAATAAACACGTCACATCCCACTCCAATGGTTTCCATACGAAAATTGTGTGAAAATCGTCAATCTTGTAAGTTGCATGGTAATGAAGACTTGGTAATGAACTTTACTCGGTTTTTAAGTAAGTTTTGAGTTTGTAAATTTGATTTAAATTAAAGAAGAATAGGTCATATAACTAGTTTGCTCTTATAAATAATTAAAAAATAAAATTAAGTTCCAAACTTCCAATACCTATATTGGTGGTAAATTAGAATGCAGAAAAGGTAAGTTCTTAACTTTTTTGTTCAGGATCTTGCAGTCTCGCGGTAAAATTACGTTACGCTAAGAAATCACGCGATTTTGGGTAGCAAAAATAGAGATTGTTCTGAATTTTTCAAAACAAATTATGCTTTCGGCATGAATTCGTATTAATAAAGGTAAATAAAAGCGATAAACTGGAGCCCTATACCGAAGTAAACCCGTGAAATTTTGAAGGCTAATGGATACTGTGTATATTTAACAATTAGACAACGAGTATAAACTTTAACATTAATTTACAACTAGGCTGCGAACACAATACAAAAATACACAAAAAAACATGATAAAACCATTGAAGGTAAACAAATATTTTAGTTTTTGTTCGCGTAAAATGTTTTACAAAATTCAGTTTTAATTTTAAAATTTCATTGAGTGTATAGTTATTTTGTCTATTTTCTTACCCTTAAAAATTGCCATTCGCCATATTTTTGTTGCTTTTTTCGGGTGTTTTTAGTACAGAATTGTTCAACAAGTCGTCCAAAAATTGAAAAAATCATCAGACACTTCGGCAAAAGTGCAAAACGCGAATTTTCCGCCATTTTGAATTTTCTATTAGTAGGCTATCACTAATAGCCTACTAGTAGCGTAGCCAATCAGAAGGCACGATATGTGATAGCCTACTAGTAGGTTTATACTAATTTTATTTATTTCTAAACATTTGTCACCGAAAATGGCGGAAGTCAAGCAATTATGCCGAATTGTGTGTTGCGTCGTTACCTGCATGGCCCAAATAGCTATATTTGTACAGCTATAGGTGTACCAAAAAAGGTTATCCAAACGTAGCGTGCTTTTAGGCGTTCAATATTGCATGTACAGATTTTTAATTTTTACATTGACACGTTTGGGATTCTAGATTTCGAATGACACGTGTTTATATTATTCCAAGCATAAATAACCCAAAAAGTGCCGATTAAAAATCGCTAGGGGCGAAATACTTTCCCACCTTTGTATACGCTATTAAAGCGGTACATTACAGAATTAATTGTTAAAATGTCTTGCCAAATTATACTATAAAACAGAAGTGGCAACATATAAAAATTCATGATTTTTTTATCAAAATGGAATTTATTTAACATTTTTTAACTTCCCTTTGGAGCTCGAATTAGCGAGGTTCTACCATAGGTTTATGATTACTAGGATAAGTTTTTCAAAGCTACATGCAGGATTGCCCTTTTTTATGTACCCTGTAAAAGAAAAATATTTAAGCATCATTGTTTAGATATAAAGTTTTAAAATTCAGCTATAAATCAAGCTTCAGTTTCCAACAATTATCTGATTTTTTTCGAACCGTCCTGACCGCGTAGCTCAGTTGGCAGAGCATTGGGCTAGTATTCCAAAGGTCGTAGGTTCGATTCCCACCGTGGCCGGACAAATTTTTCAAGCTCGCCCGGTGTGGATATACACCCAGAGTAACATCCAGAGAGTAACATCACAAACATAATTATCTGATTTCTTTCAGGTACGGTTAAAGGTATTATAATGGAAGTGGAGAGCATTCGATTGAACATCACATCAACTGGGTGTGTGATAGGTTACAATGACCACTTATTATACTGTAATTAAAATGCAGTTACATGAAAATTGTTATGCTGCCAAATAGAAAGAAAGATTAACCCAATAAGTTGCAGGGCCTCTCAGAGAAATTCGGGGGCCCTAATTTTTCCGGGCCCGAAAAATATTTTTCCGGATATTTCCAAAAAGAAGGTTCAAAACATTTTTCCGGACAAACACCAGTTAAATTAAGGTTCGAGAACATTTTTCCGGACAAATGCCTGTCAAAACACGGGTAAAACACATTTTTGTGGACCAATATCGGTAAAATTAAGGTATAAAAATTGTTTCTCATAACATTATTTTTATAAAAAACGTCCCAATTATTTTTTTGGTTTAATTACACATTTTGTCGCTCCCTTTTTCAAATTTTGGTCCCCCAATAATTGGGAGCCGAAGAAAAATTGCCCCTTTTGCCCCCCCCCCTGAGAGGCGGCTGATAAGTTGCATACCTACATTGCGCCCAGCCCCTATTTTAATTTATTCTGTCTAACACCGGACGATTTTACTCGTCAATGGGTTAAAGTGCAACAAAACTTAAACATGATTTCTGTATAGTGTAATGGTTGGGTATTTCTTTGAAGAAATGTAATATGTATGTATCTTTAATATAAACTTGAGCAACTATTTTACTGTCAATGCCGGATATGATGTCATAAAAGGAATTTTAGTGGAAAAAAACAAGCAAACTTACTGGCAATTATATTCATCTAATCACATCTTATCCGGCAAGTTCTTTATGGCAAACCAATAAATAAAGAATTGTCAAGTTGCAAGCAGAATATCAGTTGCAAGTTATTGCTTAAATCATTGTGTTTTATAGGCAGGCATCACGTTCCAAAGTTGCAGATGTAATATCATTAAACTACTTAGTCGAAGGGAGGGAAGTTAACGAGTTACGTGGAAATGAAACGATATCTTTGAAGTTTGATAGAAAAGAACAATCTATGCAACCTCAAGTAAGCTATACACCAAAAGGAGTTTTGTAGGCGGAACTTTCAAGTGTAAATATTTACACATTTTGTATAGGTACAGTAATAGGATGATTACGAGTGCAGTTTTGGTAAAACATGCAAGAGTGAGTTTTTCAAAAAGCATAAAAATAGCACGAGTCTGAAAGACGACGAAACGGACGAGTGCTGTTTCAGGTCTTTGAAAAAAGAAATCGAATTGCGGCCCTATTCAGCTTCACTAGAATACTCTATAACCAAGTGAGCTATAGAGTCCAGTTGATGAGATTTAACAGTAATTTCATACAATTATTGAAGTGATCCTAGTGTAAGGTGTTTGATAAATTATAAATACCAGGTTTTGGGCATGCCACTGGATAGAACTAATCTAGAATATTTGCATATTTGAACTGTTTTAATGAAACCACTCGACTAATTTAGTAGCAATATTTAAATAACAATTATTCACCAAAGGCGAGGTGATTATCGGGGAATATAATCATGGGCGTACGGGAAGGAAAAAATTAGGGGGGCGGAAAGAAATTTGCCCGACTTTTTCGGATTGTGCCCGAGTTGTCAAGAAAAAATTTCCGGAGAAACTTTCCAAAATTGTTGTCGACGGGGGGAGGGGAGGAGTGATTACGAAAAATTCCTATTAGATAGCATATTTCCCACAAAATTGACAGAATTTCAAACTCGTTCCCAGGGCTTTTAAAGGGAAAAGCCCTGGGAACGAGGTTGGACAGAATTTCCCACAAAATTGACAGATTTGTCCCATTTATTTTTATAATAAGCCATAACTGAAATATGTAAATGAACGCGCTCGAAATATTTCGATCTTCTGCATGGTCTTTCATACTGTAATTTCATTGCTTTTTTCGTGTTAAATTCTAAAGGTTCACTGCATATTTTTGGATGGAAATCAATGGAGTGAAAGAGGAATAGAAAATGGGGTGCATAATGACAGAACAGCGGAATGTATTGCGAATCATTTGACAAGTTTTTCAATGGTCGTCCTTGACGCAGAGGTAAAAACAAAAACATAACACAATGACTTCAGTGCAGTTTCACGACCATGACGACCATCATATTAGTGTGGCGGATATGTGCATGGATGTTTCCGAAGAGGGTTAAAAGCACCAAATTGTGCACAGTAGCATCTTTTTATGAGTAGAACAACATGCAAAAGTGGGGCCATCGTGAAACCGGTTTTTTTAGAGAGTTACGATGCTATTAGCATTATTTGCTATTAAATTTTACTACAACAAAAAATGTGAAATTTTGAATTCAATCGCGACAAATATAACTTGCATCATCAGAAAGCTTGTAAAAAACTACATAAAAGACTTTTAAGCAGTTTTTTTTATTCTTCAAATGGTTATTGCTGTAAATTAGGCACATTATCTCGCTAAAAGTCCCTAATTAATTATTCGATGTTTGAAATGCGTTTTTAACAGTTTATAATTCGAAAACTATTTCAGAAATCAAAAAACTGTCTAAATGTCTTATATGCAGTTTTTTATAAGCTTTCTGATGATGCAAGTCATATTTGTTGTAATTGAATACAAAATTTCACATTTTTTGGCTATAATAGAATTCAATAGAAGATAATCACTATAATCACCCGTTTTCAGGAGTTAGCAGCAAAATAGCGATGGCCCCACTTCAAATATCTATTAAGCAAATAAAACTACATCAATTGTAAAAGTTTGATGCTTTTAACCTCAACGGGAACTACTGATCAATAATTTTACACATATCCGTCTCACTATATCATTGTATTGTTATTATACACTCACGCGCACTTAACCAATCGGTAATCGTTGAGAGGGTCACGTCACATTGACAATTTTTGTTATAGAATTGTTTTGGTCGATATAATAAAACTCTTATTGGATTCATCTTCGCCCAATATGGCAAAATATTAAGTCTCGACTTCAATATTAGACTCGACCTTCGGTCTCGTTTAATATTAAAGTCTCGACTTAATATTTTGCCATATTGGGCTGAGAAGAATCCAATAAGATATAATATACTATGTCTCAGCCATGTCTAATGCCACTCCGAAGTAAAAGCAGATGTCTCTGTTGACATCAATACTTTTCCTGCATGAATTCAAAGCTACACGTACATGTTAATATACAATCGAAGTGCAGTTTTAATCGTGGCAGTGTTTCCTTTCTCACTGTCCACTGACAGTTAGATGAAGAAACGATGCAGAGTTTTAGCTACATCAGTTATATTGGATCAGGATTGTCCTTAACTGCCCTGCTGTTCACTTTATTGGTTCATATCTTTTTGTAGTAAGTATATATAATTTAAATCCAAGCTCAAACTCATTAATATTTCATGAGTAAATTAGCCAACCATATTACTTTATTCTGCTCACATTATAATACTGGATACCTGATCCAGTCCTAGGACTCAAAGGATCAAAATTAATTCAGTTCCTGGATCAAAATTAGTTCACCTTACTTTAAGTAGTTATTTATTGGTATAAGACTGATGTCATTCCAAAATCCTGCAATTCGGACTGGACTAAATTTCAAGTCCTCGAATTTTGACCCAGTCCTCGGCTTCGCCTCGGATCGAATTGCGCGGACATGAATTCTTGTCCAGTCCTCATAGTCATACTCAATGTGGTGACTGTGCCTAATTGCAAGCAAGAAATGGGCAACAGCAGAAGTTTTTATGCAACTTTCGATATAAAGCCTTTAGCAATAGTGCCACTCGATCGGCTACTATCCCGTAATTGAACTGTACAATCGTCTTAGTTTCATTTGTTTTCTAGTCGGATTGGGAACATTAAATCAAATTTAGTCGCTATCTAAGGCCAGGGTCAAACGTCGGACTTTTCATGCGCCGAACCTAATGTTAATGAGCTAAGTTCTTTGTTTCACTTCATTTGCATTAGGTTCGGCGCATGAAAAGTTCGACATTTGACCCTGGCCTTATCTCAGACCAATGAACTCCAATGTTTCACGTAGCCTATATGTGCATGTTGAGTTTTGAGACACAATATTTTGCTTTCAATAGCTCTCTTTACAGGAAAACTTTACACAGTAAAAAGTTTGAAGCATGAAATATTGTCATTTTCTGTCACATGCCAGACATACTAAGTAAATCACTGACTTGCGATAGTAAGAAAATGACCTCGAGCCGGAAAAGGGCGTAATGCAGTTTATATACCTGGACATTTTTCGAGAAATTCTCAATCAAAGTTAAGTTACGTAGCGTAAAGTTATTTAAACTCTGAAATGTCCAACTACAACTATCTTTAAAATGCATCATGGTATATGGTTTTTCCATTCTCATTTTTGTGTCTGTATAATTCTCACTCCCAAATCCCAATAACCCAATTCGCAAATCCCATTTTCCCAGTCCAGAATCGGTAAACCTTGTCCCGATTTTAGTCCTTCAGGACTCCCACAATTCCTTTTTGTTTTTGTATGTCTCTTAATTGAAGTATTTATTCTTTGTTATTCTAGCAATGATCTTCAAGTGTTATCCAGCAGTAGACAGTTAGTACATCTAAACCTTCAAATCGCTTTGGGAGGGACTCAGATTGTGTTCCTAGCTGGAGGAAAACAGAGCAAAGACGAGGTCAGAATTAGTGTTGGACTACTAAATACTTTTATTGTGATTAGAAAAAATTCTGTTTTTAATCACATCCATTAGAGTACATATGACTCTACTTTATAAGTAGAGCCTGACACAAACCTTAATCTGTATATAGCTGGTCTCCACCTGAAATAAAGTTTATATTTACAGTATCTAGGACTCGATCTAGGAAATATGTCCCGATGCTATTGTGGCTATATAAGCATACACAAATAATAAGTGAACAGTTCAATAGTTTGACATGCATATGCAATACAGAGTGTCCCAAAAAACTGCACATTGTTTGATTTTATCGTAAAAACTATAAAAGCTATCGCAATAAAATAAAATAAAATAAAATAAAATAAAATAAAATAAAATAAAATAAAATAAAATAAAATAAAATAAAATAAAATAAAATAAAATAAAATAAAATAAAATAAAAATCATATCATTGCATTCTGAAAGAACTTAGATTTTGATATGTAACACATGAATTTACATGCAATATTGAGCGAGATACAACCAAAATAAAAAGATTTATTATTTAACAAGTATAACTACATCGGTAATTATAAGGTTGTTTTATGCTAATTTTTGGCATCTTCAAAAACTTCAACGTCCAGACACCAATAGCGCAGTCAATATTGCATGTACATACTTGTACATTCAACTCCTATAAATCAAAATCTACGACAGTCCATTCTAGGTGCAATTATCTTCATTTCATTGCAATAACTTTTACGTTACATTTCCGACACAGTACAAGTCACTTGGGCAAATATGCGCAGTCAAAACCCTGAATTGGCTTATAGAATAGCCCAGCCTTAACCTTAGCTATATAAACACACCTTTTTACATGAATGCTATATTTTAATTAGAACGATTTTTTAGATATTTTGCAAAGTGGTGGCAATTTTGTTGCATTATTTCTCCTTGGCTTCGTTTTGCTGGATGCTGATCGAAGCTACCATGCTTTATTTGAAACTTATTTCAGTGTTTGGTGGGGAATATGTTCAGATAAAAAAATTCTGTGCATTCGGTTGGGGTATGTATTCCAAACAGCTCAAATAGTTTTTAATAATTCATGAGGAGATTAGCCAATCAAATTGCTTTCTGTTGGTCACGTGATGATACCTGTTTAGGATCATAATAGGGTAGGATCATAGAACAAAAGAAAATTTTTAAAATTCTAAATTCTCCATCGCAGGTGAATTGTATACATTCAGATTAAATAACCGTTTTCACATTAGAAGACGGACAAGTCGTCTAGACGAACAAATCGTCTTTTATTCGGACAAATCATCAGATGTGAAAACGTGGTCTCAAATTTCAACCTGCGAACGGACGTACTCATTACGGGCTGTATGGCCTGCGGAGGAGGTAGGACATTATATTGACGTTTCTTTGTTTGTTTAAACAGGATTTCCACTCGCTTTTGTTAGCATATCTGCTGCAGTCAAGATCGATGGCTACGGTACTAAAGAATGGTAAAGTTAATTTAAAAATTTCTAGTCGCCGTAGTTTATTGGCAGGGGTGTGCTAATCATTGTGGGTTGCAGCTGAGATCTCAGCTGAATTACAAAGGCGCAGCCAACCTAATCAAGTTCAAAGCTTTCCAATGGTGCTTCTGGTATAACCTTATGATTCTTGTCTAATTAATTAGGAAGCACAGTGATCAGTTCAGGAACCGCGGAACAGATATATGTACCAAAATCTGGTGGATATTAAAAAATTACCGGATAAAATCCAGCCTGTCTCCCGTGCTATCCTAGTCCCCCCTTTTAAACAGGCTCCGCGGTCCCTGCAGTTTGGGGCTAATTCAGACTTTGAGGCTAATCGGAATCCACCTTGTCAATATTCCTTGTGTGAGGAAAGCAGAGTAAAAACCAACGACTTTCAGTACGGCGTTGATTGAGGCCAGATGAGTGTGAAAATAGTACTCAAATTCGCCCGGATCTGCCATGAAACCCATCGAATTCCATATCTTTGTCTTATAAAGCTAACCACACGGTTCTAACTAATTTCCACTGACATCGTGTTTCTTTCATAAATTATGTTGTTAATTTATACTATATAGGTGTTGGCTGTCGTACGACAGTGGCTACTTTTGGGTGTTCTTTGCTCCTGTAATCATTATTTTATCGGTAGGTTTAATTTTATGGTCAGCATTTTATGAAGGCATCGCCGCATCTGAACGAATAGCGCAATGAAAGAGCGCTAACTTAATTAAGTGGACCTTTCCGGTAATTACGTCATGACTAACACTGTTTTCAACTTTGGACCACCTTAAATGGAATGGGTTTTAAGTTTGTTTCTCACGGGCTATGGTCAGAGGAACAAAACATCCTTCTTCAACACATGCATAAAAAAGAATTTTGGATTTTGTCCAATAAATGTAGAAATAAGCTTAAACACGAAAACAAGGCTGAAGGCAAGAGGGGCCGTGGCCCCTCAGCCTCGTTTTCGTGTTTAAGTTTATTTCCACATTTAATAGGAAAAATCCAAAATTCTTTTTAATGCATGTGTTGCCGAAGGATTTTCTGCTTCTCTGACCATACGCGTGAGAAACAAACTTGAAATCTATTCCATTTAAGGTGGGCTAAGTTGAAAACAGTGTGTTCTGACGTATACGTAATTGCCGGAAAAGTTTATTAAAGTTATATTTTTGTAGTTGAATCTTGTTACTGTCATCGCCGTTGTTCGTGTTCTCTGTCGAGTTACAAGCAGATGCGAAGACAACGAAAAACAGCATATTTAGTAAGTTGGGTAGAACTTTGTTTACATCCCCAAAACATCCTGGTTAAGATTTTCCTGCTTTACTTAGAAATAACCCTATTTGGCTTAGCTTGATATTTCTGGTTAACTTAAATTTCCTGCATGGTTATTTTATCTCACTTCTAGGAATCTCACCATATTTGACCAGGTTTAATCAACCAACCTATGTTAGGTGGATAAATGGCCAAGGTGGCCCTAACTGTCAATAATCTTAACATTCTTAACATTCTTCTTAACATTCATTTGTTGCCATTTTCTTCAAGGTAACCCAAATAGGCAATCATGATATGGTCCTCAAACTGGGTCAAAATATTTATTTTATCTTTTCGTTTATGTTTTCCGTGCAGACTTGTGCACTGTGAACACAGTGAATTTTGGGTGTAGTGAAGAAATCATCCAATAGACCTTCTCGGCTTGTCCCATTTTGAGAGATGGTTTCTTTTCAATTTAATAATATTCGGGAACGAATCAATGCATTCTCATTGGAATGACAATACAACTAAATACAAATTGCATGACTTTTATAAAGGAGTTTCCAGGACTAAAATTAATAAAAAGCCATGATTTTCCGAAATTTCCAGGGGACGTAAGAACCGTTTCATCAAGGTGGGATAAGTGATGGATATAAAATGGCCCTTCTTAAATATCAAAGGGCTATACAGTAGCTATGTGCAGAGACAAAGGCATTTTCGTCGCAACCTGCAACGCAATAGCCGTTTTTAATGCAATGTTAAAAATAAGTCAAAGACATGAATGACTGGATGGCATGGAGAACAGTATGATTTTAAAAACAATCGGACAAGACAATGGAACATTCAGATCACCAGATCGTGACTGGATGACCCTTGCTGTTCTCGTGTTGATAACTGATAATTTTTGAGACCTGCATATTCCTCTTCACAGATACAATATAGCTTCAATGTTCGTTATCTTATCTTTTAGCGCTGCACTGCGAGGTATTGTTATATTATTCCCTACTCTTGGCCTGTCCTGGATATTCAGTGTTATCGCTGTCAATCATGACGCTATGGTCTGGAAATATCTTTTTGCAATATTCAATTCGATACAGGTATTGAGAGATTCATGCCACGTAACAAATGATAATAACATACAGTTGTATTTTATCTTCATAACACGTGACAGAGCTACACTCTAAACAGACCTGGTTAATGTAATCGTAGGACGTCCTTGGTAAAATAACCAGATTTGAGACTATGCTACAATCTTGGGCATAAACCTTGAGACCATGCTATATAATAATCTTGAACATAACCCTTGAGATCATTCCAATTTCATCTCCCCCCTCCGCCCCAGTTCAATGTTGTAAACCACTTTTGGTAATTTACTATGACACAAGCTCAACATGCATTGACTTAAGGGGGCGGGGGCTTAAAACATGATTCAACATGGAATTTATCAAAAGGGGTATGCAATTTTTGTATAGAGAGAAAGGTAGTCTCAACCAGGTATGTCCAAGATTGTGGGTGAATAACCTAGCGCCCCTTGTTATTTATCTACCTGGCATAATCTCGTGGAGTATGTATAGATGTTTTAGGCCCTGCAGAAAAGGACAAAAATATAATCCAATTTTATCTCTCTTATTAATTTAGGGATTTCTAATTTTTCTGATTTATGGAGTTTGCAATGGAGAGGTATATTAGGTGAAAATGCTAAACTTGTTATCAAAACTCGCCCCACCATTTCACAAGTTTCTTGTTAGTATAGATCAGAACAGCATTGAAACGTCGACTGGGAAGAGACATAAATCCTTTTTCATCAACCACATAAAACTAGGTAAGGTCTAGTTATCACTTATACATCACAGATGTCAATCAAGATATGCACTGAAAACTCAGCAAACTTCAGAGCGTTTATAATGAGCTACGATTTTCCGTTGAGACGGCGTCACCGTACGCAAACGTTTGAACTTTCGGCTATTAATATTTCAATTAACAGTACGGTTGAGTGACTCGATGAGGAGATGCTATTAGCCATTTCCCAAAGTCCTGAGTCTAGTCGCGCGAATCCCATGTTGGAGGGACAAGAAATATGGCAGCAGACATTTAAATTAAATGTTTATTGTAAAAAGGAGAATATTTCATTTTCGGTCGTCTAAACAGTTGATATTTGATAGTAGACACTTCTACTCTTTCACATATTTGACGCCTGTCGCCATATATTTTGTCCCTCCAAACGATCCCAGAATATACTGTGATCTCTTTTGGGAAAAGGCTAATTGGAGGTTGCTTTACTATGCCAACATTTCATACAGTCTTCATCCTGCACAAGTATCCAAAAACATGGACAAAAAACAGAACAAATATGCATTGGCCGAGTTTTTTCGAAAGTCTCTACGTTTTTTCGAAAATATTACTCGTAATTCACTTTTAATTACCGAAATTGCATTTATTACATAATTTATTACAAAAGTTCATAAATATCGAATGTTGTATTATCATCAATCCATCAACATCAATTCACTAATATTAATCACCACCAAGTATACATGGGTTGTTTACCATTTACATGTAAAACCCATCCGGTTTGAAATTGTGCTAATGGTAAGCAAAATTTCGGATAGAAAATCCCATTCGGATTATTCGCTTTCCATTTAATAATTTCAATTGTTAAATCGCGAAGAGCCTGGAACTGGTGAAAAAAATTTAAAAAGTGTAAATGGAACAACATTTACCGGTTGAAACTTTCCAATCGGTAAGAGAGGACAACCTTTTCAAACAAACCGTTTATTCCGGAAAAGTTCCGGTTGGGCCGTCGAAATATGCTTGTTCCATTTACTTTCCATATGGAATCACCGGAATTTCCATGTAAATGGTAAACAACCATGGTGTGCACACCACGTAATTTATGCAGTTACCATCAAACAATTATCTATTGTTCAAATAATTAATTGTAAAAAGCATAACTTTATAACACAATAAAATGTAAGTAATCAGTTGTCCAGTCACTCATTGATTTGACTGACATATTTGTGACATTACGCAAATTAAAGGGTGCACGCATTATAGGAAAAATAATTAAGGGAAGATGCATTCAGCATTCATTCTCAGCTTTTACCTTCTTTTCTATCTAATTATTGACGAAGTTATGAATATTTGACTATAAGGAACTATGTGTCAAAACTGAAAATCACATGACTAATGTTCCGCTTACGTAAGAAAGAACTAGTTATATATAGCATTGTTTTCACTAAAATTCCTATCATGTATTTAACAAACCACAAAGTTCTCCATTTAACTCAGATTTAAATAAGTCATCAGGCAAGCCAGCGTTTAGTAACATTTCTTTAACATCCTTTCGCACACTATAGAATATGAGCTTTATTTCACGATCCCTGCATTCGAAATATAACTGGACCAATCCTTCTGTCACGGTAAAATCACATTCAAACATCGTGGAACAATCGAAAATGACAACAGTAGGTCCATTATCAACTAACGCTTTCTCCCTTACTTTAGAAGTAAGATAATCAACACCAACGTAAGTTAAACCACCAAGTAATTTAAAATGACATCGACCATTAATCTCCCCTTGGATTTCGACTTCTGGAACAAGACGGCGATACAAGAATACAACCATAGCCACCACGACACCACATAATATACCGACATCCAATTGGTAGAAGCAGGCAAAAAATGTCACAAAGAATGTTACAAGGTCTATCCTGCTAGTTCGCCAAATTCGTTTCACTATCCGGAAATCGACCATTCGTAGGATTGCCATGATAATTATTGACGACAAGGATGCTTTGGGGATATATTTGAAGAATGGTGTTAATACACTCAGAGCTAATAAAACAACACAACCAGTGAATACGCCTAAAGGAAAATAAAATATACAGGTTACCTCTAAGAACACTCTCATCCCCTAGGTACGAGGCTGACAATAGCGGTTATATTTATACCCATATCTACGACTTTTTCCACAAGCACAATGATTATTATAGACTAAAATATAGTGAATATAATAACCAAATAAGTTAAAATAAGAAAAATAACTGAACTTTTTCAAAGTTCATTTCGATTCTTTTAAATGATGTGTTGGACAAGAGAGTAAAGAGTAAAGGCCCGTTTAGAAGTGCAATTTTTGCTGCGATTTTCTCCTGATGCATGTTAATGAGTTGATGAGTTACGAATGTTCGGAGTACATGCATGCACCCTTATCTGAACATTCATAACTTGTCCACTCGTTCACATCCATCAGAATTCAGAAAAAGAAACTCCCAGCAAAAATTGCGAGTGTAAACGAGCCATAAGAACTTCGATCGTCTTCGAAATGGATATTATACATAATGTATTAATGGCAATTTTCGGATGTTGGGAAATACTGAGAAAATTGGGTAATTTTCGAATTCAGGATGGTCGTATAACTAGCTATCCTGTTTCAAGATATTTGTTGTGTTGGTGTAGTGTACTCGGGTGAATAAAGATGCTTGTGTTTGTTACTCTGAGTGTGTATCCACACCGGGCAGACTTGGAAAATATGCCTGGCCACGGTGGGAATCGAACCTACGACCTTTGGAATACTAGCCCAATGCTCTGCCAACTGAGCTACGCGGTCAGGTCGGTTCGAGATGCGATATTCCGGAACTGAGTCTAGTTCCTTCGAACCGACCTGACCGCGTAGCTCAGTCGGCAGAGCATTGGGCTAGTATTCCAAGGGCCGTAGGTTCGATTCCCACCGTGGACAGGCATATTTTTCAAGTCTGCCCGGTGTGGATACACACTCAGAGTAATATCACAAGCATCTTATTCACCTGAGTACACTACACCAACACAACAAATATCATGATTACACCGATATCGAAGGAACTAGACTCAGATCCGAAATATCGCATCTCGAACCGACCTGACCGCGTAGCTCAGTTGGCAGAGCATTGGGCTAGTATTCCAAAGGTCGTAGGTTCGATTCCCACCGTGGCCAGGCATATTTTTCAAGTCTGCCCGGTGTGAATACACACTCAGAGTTAGGGTAACATCACAAGCATCCTATTTCAATATGTAATTGTGTATACTGTAAAATTATTTTAAAGTTTGTCAAGTAAAATTCTCCCTATTCTGTTGTGTTCTAATATTCTAATAATTTATAATCAGAATACTAATCTATTCCAATCTTATCAATTCTATTATATTGTATACTTTCCAAATCTGGTCACACCTTATGTTAAATTTGGCTGGGGGCTAAATTGAGAAGATGTGGTATTCTTCAGCACACGAATGTAGTTCATACCTCCAAATTGCGTAGCAACTCCACTCGAGGCATTGACTGCTGTCCGTGAGAAACTGCCAGTTATAGGATAACCAGAAACGAAGGAGTTAGCAATGTTAGCCACACCAATGGAAATCAATTCCTGCGTAGCATCCACTTCATAATGGTTTTTCCTTGCAAACGCCTGAGCAATCACAATGTCTTCAACAAAGCCGATGATTGGTATAATAATGAAACCTGTACCTATGTCCGAAATCATGCCAAGTGTAGATATCGTTGTGTTCTTATTGTGCGATTTCAGATGGGGAAACTATGTATAAAAAAATATTAATTTGGAATTTTAGTTAACTATAAAAGTTCATAATCTCTACTGTACTATTTTACTCAGCCTCAGGAAGGTTTAAACTATAAGGATGGACCGGATCACCAGTTGGACTAAACCCAAACCCTAACTTAGCTTACCCAAAGCAGACTATAGTAGCGATACATTACTCTTTTTTAACACAAAACAACTTGATCTGTCAAGTGACATTGGCAATGGGGCAAAACCTAATTTCTGACAAAACCTTCCAAATGTTCACCAAAACTGAGATCTACTACATAAACAAATTGGCTGTTTGTAATCTTTTTGAAGGGTTTAAATTTACAACAAGTTGCCTATGTTATGTGCAGTGAAGGTGAGCGATTAGGGCTCTACCCAATGGCCAGTATGCGTGGTTGGTACAGTGATTGCCCTGGGAAGGCAATAGACCATTCTACCAAAGGTCCGGCCACACTCCCCCCATGGAGGAAATTTTTGCCGTCTGGAGGCAAAGTGTACAGGAATTTGTTTCTGATAATAGTACAGTAAGTGTATTAGGATGTCTAAATGTGGTAGGGAGTTTAAATTAACTTCCAGTTTATCTGTCTGCAAGTGTTATGTTGTGTTCACTTGTGTTATTGTTCACTCTGTATTATGTCAGGAATGGGTTCAGCATGAACTGGTAGGGTGCTCTGCCAGGTCTGGTGCCGAGTTGTGTCGGTCATGTGTACCACCCGCCCATCAACTTGCGTGACTTGCTTACAGTTGTACTGTATTGAATTGTAATTGTTGTTCACAGTTCACTTATCATCATGTTATTACTCAAATTACTGTATCTCATTTTGCCTCTGATAATTTTTTGCTTTATCATGAAAAATAGCACCCCCTCTAGCCAGGGCTAGGGGCCCGTAGGAGGTGCACCCTCCCCCCCTCCCCACACACTCCCCCAGTAAATCCATCCCTGGGGGAGATACATACTTAATGGTGTTTTCTGAAATGACACTGTCCAGGGCACAATGCAACTTATTGGGATAAACATGGTTTCTACCAAATACTGCAATCTTAAATGGTCTGTGCCAAGTGTAGATAGTGACGATACTAAAAAATCTGTGGATTGATAGGGATACAAATACCTTGTTTTTTTTTCAGGTATTGTATCCCTATCAATCCACAATCTTCATAGTTTCTACCAATTTGCCATTTAGTAAATTTATAATAACCACTAATGCTACGAGTTCAGTTTTCCCATTAATTGTTCCTCCTAACTTTAGATCACTCCCTATATGATCAGTGGTGGAAATCTTGGTGGGGCGTGGCCTTCACGAAGATTGGCAGATTTTGGAAATTTTTACCTAAAGAAGTTCACAAAACAGTCTTTTCAACAGAAGTGCAAATAAGAGTATGTAATTTAAGAGTTTTGTCAAGAAATTTAGGAGGCCCATCCCCCCGCACTGGAAAAAGTGAATTTCCGCCACTGCTGTCAATGCTGACTCAATCAAACAACATGCATGTACAGTAGTATTGTACCTCAAAATCAGGCAGACCCTCCTCCACTTTGCCTGTCAATGTAAAAGGTGTTAGACTTTTTCGATAAAATGCTAAAGCCACCAAACCACTTGCAAAAACAATTAGTGCATTTCTAGCGGTGCATACAATCCATAAAAATTTCCGGGAAACCTTTTGCAAACCAGTGGGCGGTGAATCATAATATTCCGACGGTAATTCAACCGGCCTCATGAAACGTAGCAATTCCAACAAAACAATGCATATTAAACTTAGAATTAAATCCCAGTGATTTGTTTCGCCAATGTTTGAGAATATTTTGGTCATGCATGGGAAAAATTCTCGAGGTATGTCCGATAAGCCGAGAAGGTTCTTAACCTGTCCACCTGCAATGGTTATTGCCGCAGAAGACGTGAAAGCGCTTATTACAGGCAATGGCATAATACGGACAATGAACCCAAGAGAAAGAAAGCCCATTAATAACCATATAAGTCCACAGAGAAAACTCAACGCTATAGCATAGTCATGCTTTGAGAACTTGTATTCTGCCGAGTGGGATGCTACCATCAGCGACATGATGGCCGTTGGACCTTGGGTTATGTCTTTGCTTGAACCGAAAAGACAGTACACAAATCCACCCATGAATGAGCTGTACAGACCATATTGTGGTGGTAGCTCTGCAATACTTGCATATGCCAAACCCTGTGGAATCACCATCAGACCAACTGTAACACCAGCAATAAAATCGTTCTGTAATTTACTCAGAGAATAGTGAGGCAGCCATTTAAGAATTGGCAATCTCTTTCGCCAATCTATAGAAAACCTCATCTTAGAAAGGTATATTAAATGTTATATGCCACCTGACACAAAGCACCAAATTTGTACCAAATTAAACCAACCAAAAAACCATTCCGTGGGAATTCATATTTCTTGCAACAAGAGCCGTCATCGTTTGATATAGTCGACTTTTCCGCTGTATAAGAAACGTATCGTGCCAGATACATCAGCTGAGAAGTAAAACGTGTTGCAATTACAATTTTTTTGTCAAATTTTGCGTAGCATGTCACGCGAAAATGAAGCCATGGTGAGCCGGAGGAAATATTTTGGTAAAAAAATTCCAATTAAAATTCCTTAAAATTTCCTTTGAAACTTTTTTTAAAAAATTTTGCCATCCGGAAATTTGAAATAATTTTGAGAACGTGGAAGCACCATAGCAATATGGCGCCGTGAAACCATTGAGAAAAATATAAAATTTACCATTATTTTCTCCTTTTCCACCATGAGGTGTGCATTTAACTGGCAGGATAGGATACCCATTGTGAAATGGCTGCCAAGATATTCATTTTATGCATTCCAATGTGACTTTATCGCAGGCATTACAGTTGCTTTAATGGTCATACCGCAAGGTCTTGCCTATGCAGTGATAGCTGGCTTGCCAACACAGTACGGCTTATATAGTGCCTTTATGGGAGGCTTTGTCTATTGCTTACTTGGTTCCACCAAAGACTTAGCCGTTGGTCCTGCAGCAATAATGGCTTTGATGGCTGGTGCTTTTGGACGGAAAAATGACCCAAATTTTGCTATAACTTTGAGCTTATTTAGTGGTGTTATATTACTTTTCATGGGTATTCTATCACTTGGGTTTATTGTTCGTTTAATTCCGGTTCCCGTTGTCAGTGGCTTCACATCGGCTGCATCAATCATTATAGCATGCGAACAGTTACCAAATTTGCTTGGGTTAACAGCAGACTCGGACGAATTTTTCCCTTTGCTAAAAGAGATGTTTAGTAATATTTCGCAGACAAAAACATGGGACGTGGTTCTTGGCGTGATTTGCATGGCAATGCTAGAACTTATGAGATACTTTAGTAAAATCCAGTGGCCTTCCGAAAACGAGTTTCCTCCGACGTTGCCGCAGAAAATTGCGAGGAAGTTTATTTGGGTTATGGAAATTGGACGGAATGCTGTGATTGTATTTGCCTGCATGTTGATAGCTTACGCATTTCATTGCAGGGATAAGCATCCATTTTCATTGACTGGCAAGGTTCCGGAAGGTCTGCCTCCATTTAAGGTATAGTGACGTACTTAATATTTGGTTACCATGGCGATGAATGCTATTTCAAGAGAGTGCAATATTAATTCATTAAGTTGCAATGTATCATGCAACTTTGTTATTTACTCCATTTAATCGCGGAAGACTTTACTTGGGGAAAGCACTGGCCTCAATGGACTAGAAATAGATTTTTTGCTCACAGTATTTTTAATTTTCTATACAACATAAATGGGAAGAGTATGTTGAGCATTATTTCTTAAAGGAAAATTTCAGCATCAATAGTCTTGTTTAACCCATTGAATACCAGCGTTCTCCCCTTGACGATAAAATTGCCTGGTGGTGGACAGAGCAGAATAATAATAAAGTAGGTCACATTAGGGCCCAATGCAACTTAACTAGACATGTGGACAAGTTGTGTGATTACAGCAGTTTCATGTATGTGATATGCGACCACCTCACAAAAAGGCCAATATCAATATCAGAAACGTCAACAGACTTGCATGCAGCTATTCATAGAATAATATAATACAGTATATATTTATTTGATTTGTCAAATATTTGCTAGAATATTTTCTTACATTGAGAAATACAATTAATTTACCTTTACTTGTACAGTTTGCGACACTCTGTATCTGTCTTATGCCTGGAGATATTATTAAAAAAACATGCTCAAATCACATCCAAAATAACACATAAAGATAATTACACATTGTAGCTAGAAGTACCGTAAATGAATTTTATTTCTCAATTTAAGACCGTATTCCAGCAATTATTTGAAGAATCTAATGAATATATACAGTACTGCCAAGAAATAACTTATCAAAAACCGCGTCCAAGACGCGGGTATCTTGCGTCCACTGTGCGTCCACGGGCGCCCGCGGGTGCGTCCGTCCTGCGGGCGCCGTGCGTCCATCGTGCGTCCACTGTGCGTCTGCGGGCGCTTGCGGGTGCGTCCACTGTGCGGGCGCCATGCGTCCGCGTTGCGTCTGCGGGCGAGGACGCAGCTGAGAAAGAGTTCTATTCGTAGATCGTCGGAAATTATCGCGTTTCGCTTTTCATAAACAAACCGTGGGCGTCGGAAAATATTCATGTTAGCGATTTCACACCACGTTTTATGCTTATACACAAGTGTTGCAGACCTAGAATCCTAGATATTTGTATTTCTAACATTAAACTTACCGTGAATTTTCAAAATTTGTGCTTCGTAAAGTTCCTTTTCGTATTTGATCTCTACTTTCGCACCTTCGTATAACGTTTGGTTTAAACCCAGTAATCTTTTAACGTTGCCGGTTGGCAAAATGCACGTATGGTTTTATATCTTCTTCGAAGAAACCCAAAATACGTTTTGGTTGACAAGTAAGCGATCGATACCTCATTTCATTAGTCTGATAGTAATACGGATCGAGTGATATTAGTCTGAGCTCTTCACTTCAGCTTTAGCGAATTATACTGCAACTTTGAAAATCAAGCGATGAGTCACAGTCATTGAACCGTGTTGAAACACAAAGACTGTTTCCTGGACATGTAAAGGTATTCCATTAAGGGATTAAGAGAAGTCATTTATCCAGAAATTATATGGTAATTATCAATTTATATGACATCTCACCATGTGCATTTGCTGCTTTGGAAAAACAACACAAACTTGTTGCTGTAAATAAAGTTATATAGTGGCTCGTAGTAATGGTATTTTATATGAAAAGTCAAAAGCACTATAAATATATTGTAAATGAGTATCTTCGTTTTAATATACTGACGAGTTACGGAGACAAAACATTATTCAAATACAGAATTGCATATCAACTAATAGGCAATCTTCTACGAGGTATGTCAGAATTTGAGTAGCTAATGAATGTGTTGCGAGATATATACTCGTTGTAGTCGCGATCTCACTGAGTTTAGTATATCTGTCTACATTATATTTATATATAGTTTATGTCTATTTTGCGCTCCAATATACAGTCATATACGCTTCAATCGCCACTCAAGTACGTGTGATTGCATTGTGAAAGCACTAGGCTTACTGTAGTATAACGTGTAACATTATAAAATGGTTATACTAAGTGTAACGCTTAGGTTCAATGAAACTCGATTTCAGATTAAACTTTTTATTCTTTGCTTCTCCGATCAGTGACACACTGACACTGATCTGTATTCTCACGACAAACTACGAGTATGATGCAAATATTAGTTCGTTTTTCCGATTATGTTACGACGACTGCGTCCAAGCGGACGCAGTTTTTAACTGGAGGCCGGACGCGGGCGCTTTGGAGGCAGGACGCGGGCAGAGTAGACGCAAGACGCGGGCGTCGTGGAGGCCGGAAGCGGGCGCTCTGGAGGCAGGACGCGGGCAGAGTGGACGCAAGACGCGGGCGCTCTGGAGGCAGGACGCGGGCAGACGCGGGGACAAGTTATTTCTTGGCAGTACTGTACCAGTATGGAGACGAGCTGGACTATAGTTAATTAACTGGAATGATTTGTTTAATAAAGCTCTTATCACGGCTTTGATGAACCTTTTAAACAACCAAAATGACATTTTAAAGTGAATTAGTTTGATTCCAATAGGAGTAACGATCTTTTGTGGTCAGGTAAAAATTTTGTATGCACGATTCAGTTGCTCTTCAATTGGTTTTTTTTTTCAAATAGTGTCTTGCAGGGGTGGAAATTTTTTTTTTCTTTCTGGGAACCTGGCTCAAAGGTTAAATTTAAATATTTAAAAGGCTGCTGATGTTAGTGTGTACAATGTAAATAAAGTGGAATAGTTGTAAGGTTTGAGTAAACAGAGTTATCTCAAAATGTTGAAATATTCTCTGGAAAATTTTCTGCGAAACTCTCAACTCAAAAAAAATTCTGGGAACTAGGTTCCCAGGTTCCGATACTTTTTCCACGTCTGGTGTTCCAGACCTGCCACATGGGTGATACCCTGGGTTCAGAGGTTTTCTGGTGTCAGAGTTTTATGAGGCGACGAGGCGGAGAAAACCTCGCGACCTGTCGAATTTCATTTCCATGACGTAATTTACTAATGTTTCACACTTCCGGTTTGAACACTAGGTATTCAAACGCATTCAACAAAACATATATTCCCTTGACTAATTTTATCGTGTTTGCCAATGTTACATTGCTGTATTTGGAATCTCTTGAGGAAAATGTGATATTTTCTCCGGGAAGATTTCAAATGAGCTGGCGCATCGGTTGTCTATTTTGGAAACAATGTGTCTCGAAACTATCGATGACAATCGGCATGCAGACTCGTCTATTCTAAGCAGTTTCAAGGTAAAATTCAAAATACAAGCAGCAATCGAGCACATATTTTAATAGTAACTAGAAAATACATGCATGAAGAAACCCTCGCCTTGCTGACAAAACCATTGTATTTTCCGAACATGAAGTATCTTAAGTTGTTGTCATGGTAACACGATAATTTTTTAAGAATATTCTTACAAATGAAAAATCGCCTAAAAATATCACTTTTAATTACAAAATTGTCAATTTCCCAACATATATATGTTAGGTATGATATTATACGTAATATAAGCTTCAATTTAAGGTAAAATTCAACCACAAACGCTTCCCAAAAAGTTTTAAAGTGTTCTTTATCAAACTAAACTGCCTTTAATGAAATGGCTTTAGGGACTGCTCATTATTTATTGTACCGGGGGACTGAGGAGAAACTCTACAGTTATAATATTTTTTCGTTGCCCCCCTTTTAAGACAAGTGAAAATTTTCAAAGCCCCCTCCAACAGGTAAAACAAGAACATAAATTTTGGTTGCGAAATGTTGTAAAATGAGGAAAATATAGCAATCCAAAGTTTGCAAATTTTGTATACTTTTGTATTGTAAATTTTGTATCGCATGCAATACAAAAGTATACAAAATTTGCAAACTTTGCAAGGCTGTATTTTCCTTATTTTACAACATTTCGCAACCAAACTTTGCAATATACTAATTTACTTATTTTAGTATGTTCTTTCTAGCTGTGGTGATTTATTTGCATCTCTTTGCCTAGTTCTAAAATTTGTCTATAATAATGGGAATAAGAAACTATTTATTTGGCTTCCATTTAAGAATATTAATATTAAAGGTCTATAAACATTCATTGTTATTTGTTGTTAAGTTGTTTTGTGATACGTTTTTAAAACTACTAATGTTTTTTCAAACTAGTAAATATTTTCAAAGCCCCCCTTCTTTCGTCTCTCAAAATCTGACCCTAGACATCTGATTGGTTCGATGAGATCAATCAATCAATCAACACATCGCGCCCAGGGGGTTTCCAAGCTTGGCCAGCACCGCCTGAGAGCAGGATACAGCTTCAGCGAAACAGAAAACCCCCTGATCCAGCGTGATTGATTGGCTCAGATTTTCACGTTCAACTTCTGGACGGAAAAGCGAAACGTATACTTCCAAGTGAATCGCCGTATTGTGTAATTGAAAACATCCCATTTGTCAGACGATTGGATGTCGAAGGTGGTTGTATAGTGTATATAATTGTAGGTTAGAGTGGCGGAAATGTCGGCGACTATAGTCGAGAGATAACCGTTAAAGTAGTTAGGATAAGATTTGTTTAGGATTTTGCATAATGATTAATGGTATATAAAGGCCCATATAGAGACCGTACGCGATTCGGCAACGCGACGCGAATTTTCAATGACATTTAACTTTAATATTCTATGTTTTTCAAATATTCATAACCATCCACTCAAGCAATTTTAGCTATTTGGTATGCATATCTTGTAAAATTTTTATCCGTTGACGGTTTTATTTGTTTTTAAAACTGAATATTCGCATCTCGTTGCCGAATCGCGCTTGGTCTGTATGGGCCTTAATAGAAAAAGGAATTTAACACTAACTGTGGTTATTGCTGTAGGCGAGCTTGATGGTGGGAAAAGCCTTGTCGAATTGATTAGATTGATGCAACATTATATGAAAGCTAATTTTTTGGCAACATTACTTGACTTGGGTGGACTTGGCATTGGGATCCATTACGAGCAATTGAACAAAAATCAGATCGTGGTGTTTCGCTCATAATGGCGTACGGACAGCCGGTATCTGGACAATCGACAGCTGTGTCAATTGCAATGTCCATTCTTGGTCATAAAACAAGCATTGGTGGTACGTGCAGAGCAGTTTTAAATCGATAGCTTGTATAGTGAAAGCAATGTACTTTATTCATGAAAGCATTTATACTTGCATGCATGGATTTAAGAAATTGCCAATCTTGTCAGTTTTTCAGTTTTGCGGTTGGTATACTACCATATACCAAAGTAAACCCGTGCAGTCAGTATAATATGATTTAAGTCACTACGCACATCCAGTTTTCTATTTCATTTTTACTTCCGATTCCATTCTTTGATGTAGGATAATATGCGTAATAATTTATAAACGCTGATGAATCGCGCTAACTGATGTATGACCATAGTGTATGACGCTGTTTGTTGTACCGATTTGCAGTACGCGTGTTAACTACTGTATATTTATTATATGGCAAGCATCACTTCCGGTGAAATGGCGGACTGTGATTGACTGAGAAGCACTTTCAGCTAGCGGTCCATTATTTGCCGTAATGGACCGGCGGTCCATTACGTAAAATCAAACACATGCATTTTAATACAAAACATGCAGCAAAACTATAATTGAAAACTTGAAAATTATATATAATTTAATGTGTTGATATTTTCTTGTGTTGGTGTAATGTATTCAGGTGAATAAGATGCTTGTGATGTTACTCTGAATGTATATCCACACCGGGCAGGCTTGAAAAATATGCCTGGCCACGGTTGGAATCGAACCTACTGTACGACCTTTGGAATACTAGCCCAATGCTCTGCCAACTGAGCTACACGGTCAGGTCTGTTCGAGTATGTGATATTTCGGAACTGAGTCTAGTTCCTTCGATATCTATGTAATCTAGTAATCATGATATTTTCTTGTGTTGGTTAATAGGGGATAATCACTGATGACCCATTTTCTCGGTGTTTGGCAAGTTTTTTGCTTGGGAACTTTTTGTGGAAGTTAGAGCTGGGCGCCGGAGTGCCGGACCCGGAGCTCCGGCATATTTTGCCGGAGCCGGAGTTGGAAAACTCCGGCAAAAACTCCGGCAGACAAAATTATGAAAAATTATTTCATATTTCAACAAACATTTGGCATTAAATGGGAAAATTAAGTTGTTGTTTACTAATATATTATTATTTATATGTTGTTTTACTATATATTACTATGTGGTTTACTATTAATAGTGTTTTAAAAAGGTTTTTAAAAAAGATAAATTCTGAAATTACACTGAAATACTTTCGCCTGCTTCCACTTTTAAATATGGAATTTCCTTAAAAATTTCTTGCCGGACCCGGACCCGGAGTTTTGACTGCCGGACCCGGAGCCGGAGTTAAAATAGCCGGAGTTTGCACAGCTCTAGTGGAAGTCGAGTATCCATGGTACTATGCATTGAATCACAGAAAATCTATTCCCCAAGGGGTTGCAACGAAGCGAAATAATTTTGGCCAACGGCCCATGGCCTAAGGAACTGGTCATAAAGTAACTGCTAGGGTGGGCTGGAGGTAAATCACAAATTTTGCCAATACGTTCCGTGACCCATCTTAGGATGTAAATAAAACCTTCAAAGCCCATCTAATCTTACAAAAGATTTTTCATGACCCACCCAATCTAAATTGGGCCAATACACTTTTATAATAAAAAAAAAACTTGCATGTATGAACATTGTAAATATACACGGAACTGTATTGACATACATAATTCCACCAAGCTTGATCAACACGTTGATACTGAGCTGCTCTCCAGTTGGTTGTATTTGCTGCAGGACTCGAATTTCCCTGAAATCAATCGACGGCAATGGCGTTAAAAATTGCCGTAGAACGTAACAGCTGTATACGGCAATCCTGACAGTTTCCACGGCATTTTTCCAATTACTGTAATAAAACTTTAATTTTATTGTTACTTTGGATTTATGACAAGCTAGAAACACGACTACGTATTTCTTTAGTTGTTTTTTTTTCGAAGAAAACTGAGACTAAAATAATGATTTACGCATGATTTGATCAACATCTGAATTCAAGAATCAAAATAGTAATGCACAGTGAATAGTATAACAATTGCACTATACGGCAAAAAATTGCCGTCGTTGCCGCAATGATCCACGGCATTTTGTTCTCCCTCTACGGCAATTGCCGCGATTGCCGCGATAAAATTCGAGCCTGATTTGCTGTGATTCGACCACTTCTTCTTGTTGTTGTATAAACAAAGTACTGGCTTCAATAGCATCATTTGGATAGTTTTGTTTACTTTTATTATTAATATCTTTATTTTTTGAAGTAGACATGCATGGGTTTTTGTTTGGTGGACATACAACCGACCGTGGACATACAAAAACATTGGCGGCCCATCGAAACTTCCTAAAGATTTTCCATGGCCCATCCCAAATCACTCCAGCCCACCCTACCAGTTACTTTATGACCGGTCGCTAAATCTCTGAAAATCATAAGTTTTGTTATAAATGCGGCAATCCATCGCCTGGTGATACTGGTTGCTCGTCAAAGGCAATTCCAAAGCCACAGTCTTCGGCTAGTGATGGCAAATTAAAGTCCATAGGCACAGATTCAACGCCAACATTTGAGGCATTTCAAGCGACAAATAGGAAAGAAAGGACATCTAATTTTAGACCGAAAGGAAATACGGTGTACTCACTGGTTAGCACTATTTTCCATCCAACAAACTGACCTGACGTCATTTTCGTAAGATAGAAGAGGTGTTAAATGGCTATGTAACTAACCCAAACCCTACCCCTACTTCTAACCCCTAACCCAAACCTCAACCCTAACTAACACTAACCGAATTAATAAAAAATCCAAAAAGAAACGACTTTACAAAATCGATAGGGCGGTTTGCTGGATGGAAAAAAGTGCTAACCGTACTCACTGTACTGGTGTATTGATCGCCGATGTTTCCATGCTAATATTTTGAAATGTTTTTTCGATTTCGATTTTTGTTGTGATTATATTGGAATGTGTTTTCAATAGTTTTGTTTTCAAGTGTGAAATGTGTTGTGAATATTGAAATGTGTTTTGAACAATTATTGAATTGTGTTTCTAGTTTGCAAATGTGTTGTGAACATTGAAATGTGTTTTGAACAATTATCGAATTGTGTTTCCAGTTTGGAAATGTGTTGTGAACATTGAAATGTGTTTTTAGCAATTATTGAATTGTGTTTCCAGTTTGGAAATGTGTTGTGCACTTTGGGGGGTGTTTTTTTTTAAATTTGAAATGTGTTGTGATACTTCTGGGGCAGCGTACATTTGTATGTGTTTTTGCAATTTCTATAGAATTAACGTCAGCTGGCGCCTTGAAGTTGACCAAAGGACGAACACTTCCGTTTTGGTGGGACGATGCGTCTGATTTCTCCGTTTTAGAAGAATTGGCAGTTTCTTCATACAACAACGTAAGAACATTTTAACAATATTTTTTTTATATGTGGATTATGAATATACTTTGATTTCCTCGCGGCTCATCATTGATACGAATATCAACTGGATGACAAAACGCATAAATTTCACCGTCTTACGGCCAACCCTGGTAATTATTGTAAAAAGTACAAAAAGTACAACAGTATAAAGTACCTAGTCATGCACGGAACTTTATTTTTTCATTGTTTTGATTTGAAATTTGTAAGCGAGTTATCAGTTAAATTTACTGTCAGTCTGTTTCCATATAGATATATCACTTCATCCACAGTTATTTTAATAGATGGTTTGGAGACTCGTAAAGTTCAATATAACTCATTAACTATGTTATTGTCCAGCTTTATGCAAGAATTTGGTCCTATCTCGTCACGTGTGTATTGTATTTTCGCTCAAATAACCAATAACAAGTTTGTGGTTGAGTTATCCATCCGTAACTTGAACAAATGCTCAATTTAAACATTGCTATTGGTTGTGCGGGAAAAAATACAATACACACGTGATGAGATAGGCCCAAATTCTTGCATAAACCGAAAGCAACATAGTTAATGAGTTATATTGTACTTTAATCGAGTGGTAGATACAGTAGATAGGTTTATTAAAAAGAAACACATTGCAGTCTACAATGACTGAATTGCGTGTTATTTTACAAAAGAGGTTAAGTTCTATAGAGCTATAATTTACAGGAACATTTTAACTATAAAGTTAATAAAATATATACTATAAGTATTTATAAATAGATTTATGAAAATTTATGTTGAAAGGTTATATAAAATTGAGTATCTAAGAAAATTCTTTGATGCACGCCGGTATAAAAGTTTTTAAAAATCTATCTGTTTTTATCTTTGGAAGATGAAACTCTCGAGTTTTCCTGAAATCGTAGTTCGCAGAGTAACGTTCTGGCAGAAGGGATGATAATTTATGATGTGGATTGTTGATGAGTTGATTGAATAGTTTTGAGCAGGCCTTGTATCGCCGATCACTGAGAGTAATAAGGTTGCATTTTTGCAAACGCTCGGGATATGGCAAGCCTGGGAAAATTATTGAGGTGACTCTTCTTTGGACTTGCTCAATGGCGTCACTAAGATAGGTAGGCAGGGCAAAATGGAAAACTTCGCAGTTGTACTCGAGTACAGGCCTTACACATGTGCAGTAAAAGTTAATTATATCTTTGGCGGGTACTTTTGCGCGTTTAAGCTGTGTAATGAAGTATTTTCGTTTGTTGACCTTCTTGATCATTTCGGCAACGTGTTTGGACCATTTCAAGTCGTTACTGATTGTCAGTCCCAAAACTTTAGCATGATCAACTAGTTCGAGAATTCCAGAACTTAGGACAACATTGGGAAAAGGGCTTCTAACTGTCGTAAACTGAAACAGTAGTTCTTTACATTTTGGAACTTGAAGTTGGAGTTTATTCTGCACAGTCCAGTCTTCCAACTGGTTTACTCCTGTTTGAATGGTACTGTGACTGTCTTTTGATATTACTTCAGCAGCAGTAGTATCGTCAATATATTTCCACATTTGGAAATCAGTTAAATTCAGATCGTTTATAATGAGTATAAAGAGCCATGGGCCTAGTTTTGTCCCTTGGGGAACTCCGGAACGAACTTTTCCCCATTCGGAGAAACAATCCCTGGCGAGTTTAACTCGTTGTTCCCTAGATGTAAGAAAGTCGATAATCCAATTAACAATAGGTAGAGGAATTGAGAGCTTCCGGATTTTGTGAACCAGGATGTTGTGATCAATCAAGTCAAAGGCTTTGCGGTAATCAAACATGAGGAGACAAACGGAAGCGCCAGTTTCGTCGGTCGCTTAAGCACATGTATGAATAATACTGATGAGGGCGAAAGTTGCTGATGATTTTGGAATACCCCCAAATTGATCCTGATTGACCACCTCCAAAACTGCATGAGAGACGTATTTTTCAATAACTATGTCTTCGGCCAACTTAGATAAGGCTGGAGTTAATGAAATAGGTCGAAGATTCTTGTTTATATCACGGATTGGTTTATTTTTCGGGATGGATACAATGTTAGCTTGTTTCCATGCAAGCGTTTGGCAATTTTTGTTCCAAGTAGGAAAAGTTGATAATGATGGAGATAGGATTTGATAAAGCTTCTGCAAATTCTTTCAGGATCCAATTTGGAATCCCGTCTGGGCCAGGTGCTTTGGAACGATTAAGAACATTAAGCTTATGATTTATTAACTCTGGTGTAGTTAATGCGTTGGTTGGAAAGTGATCAGACTGTGAAGGGGTTTCCGTGGTCGTATCGCTGAGGGCAGAGACGTTTTTCATAGGCTCGAGGAAGGTGTTATTGATTAGATTTGCTAGATCAAGTGGTGATAGATCTAGATGGTCTGTATTTTCTAATTGGAGCTGGGAAATGAAGGCTGGGGAATTAGAAACTGGAGTCATGCCACAAAGGCGTTTCGCCTCTCGCCACCAATCTTTTGGTTTCAATTGTTTCAGATTTCGAGTCTCCAAACCATGTATTCTATTAACTGTGCTTCATCCAACAATGTATACTGTAGTTTCAACATAACATAATTAACAACATAATTTCAAATCGCATGCAACACGGATCAAGGCACATGGTCGTACGGATGTTCGGATGATCGGATTAATAAATGTCTAATGAATATCTCAATAAATGTTATAATAATAAAAGTGTTATAATCCTCACTCAGTTATATTAGTCAAATAAGTTTATCAATAATTCCAGATAATATACCACAAAACGTGAATGGTTGTACATTTACAGTAATATATTTATACTATGTCTATATAGTACTAAATTTTGGATGTATGATTCACTGGCACATATTATATTATTGTTTTTCGTCTTATACGTTATAAAGTCCATCAAGCAAACACCCAAAGTAAACATGCAATCAGTTTAAGAACCAATGCTCTGATAACAATAAATCCTAACTCGATTATATACATAATTATGTATATGTTAGTCATCACGAGATGGCATTTATAATGTTTTATATATGTTAATCACCGTAGGTAAGTATTTTTTAGTGAATATATATATATATATATATATATATATATATATATATATATATATATATATATATATATATATATATATATATATATATATATATATATATATATATGTTCAAAGAGCTACAAAATAAATTGTAGTTGTAACACAGGAATAATGTAATTTGAAACGCTCTCCGTGTTTAAACAATAACATATACATACCCTTTTCTAGATATATACAAACAAATTCCAAAACATGAAACAACAAAATCCATTATATAATCCTTCCCCTCGCCAGCTCTACAATGAAGTAGTCCAGGCCTTGGGTATATCGCGGGTTCGAGACCCAGCCGCGGCAGACAACATCTTTCTGCTTGCGCTGGGTATGGAAATTATATAATACACACTCTAGAACATTTTCATCTTAATATATATATATATATATATATATATATATATATATATATATATATATATATATATATATATATATATATATATATATATATATATATATATATATATATATATATAAAGTAT